TCACTTATCTCAGCAAAGGAAAAGACATGACCCAGCATAAATAGGATCATCGGCCGTTTGGCTGAGAGTGCAAAGCTCTACCAAAGGGTTTTCAACCATGTTAAATAAACAAAATTACAATTACGGAATTCAATTTATTTCTACGAACTTGAAATATTTTTAGAAAAGAGGTAAGCCAAAAGTAAGAAAAATAATTTATATATAAAGATTGAGATTGTATATTTGGTGACTGATCGAGATCATTCGAAAATAAGTTTTCCTGTAGGAGTTGCTCTCGCTCCTTAAAACGAATAGCAGGCAATGAAAATGAATGATGCTATATTACAGTATTCCCGAAAAACTAAAACGATATAACGGTGTTTTTATGCAATATATAATTGATATTTCTAAGATAGTGTCGCAAGATGAAGACAGTCTCCGGTCAGTATCTGCATAATAATAATAAATGAAAGTTAACCGTACAAATCGATTTATGATTAGCAGAAGTATCAGTAAATAAATATTAACTGAACAGGAATGAACAGCAGTGTCAGAATTTAACTCACCCGCTCGGACATAAGACTGATGACATGTGTCTGTAATTCCTTTCGCGATTTCCATGTACTCGGCGTGCTGGCTATCAAACGTGGCATCAAGAGCGAACATACCTCCTGTAAAGCTATCGTAACAACGGAAAGCGTGTGACAGAGTACAAAAACGTGCCGGTAAAACAAGCAAGATGATCCATCTTCGGTACCATGCGACTACCTCTCATTTCAACAATGTGCAACAGGCCGCCTTTTGATTTCCGAATCAATCGTTCTTTAATTACCTACGAGCGCAAAATACATTTCAATGAAAAATTTCACTAGGTAAAACGCCATTTTAAATGTCACAGTAAAACTTCAAGATGAGTGATTTAAATTCTTTATGCTCTCCAAAATCTATGATGCGTAATGTGTAATAATTGAAAGGTATAACCTATTATCTGTATCGAAGATGACCACATGGCAGTGTTGCTTGGCTGAAGAATTTGCAGTAAAATAAAGATCTAATATGAGCCTTTTGGCAGCATCTGTAATACCTGAATCCATAATATCTACGCTGAACGAAAAAACAAGAATCAAAAAGAGGTTTTGAAACTATGATTTAAAATTTCAAATAATTTTTGATTGCTTTTCTGAGTATCTTTTTAACTTATGATATTATCGTTTGATATTCTCAGGCTGAACTGCACTTTCACAAATGGCTTCGTTAGTAAAATAAGATTTTATATAATGCCGTACCTTCATCGCAGTGTCGTACATCCGCTTCGCCTGTTCATCTGTTCGATTGGTAAGAAGCCACGATTTTAACAGGTATTCATAGAAGCTGTCTCCCAGAGCACCCAGTGACACATGTTCTACACAAATCACAATAATAGATACATATGAAGAAAATATAAACTGGAAAAATGAGTAGCAAAATGTACTTACTGGTTCCCCATTTGCCAGTTTGCGGGTTCAAGTAATTCAAATACATTCCGTCCACTTTATCTATTTGATCCAGAAAGTCGCGTAT